TGCACTTTTTGTAACCATTGAACCACATGTACTCCTAGTTGTCGAAACCGATGCGTTAGACATCGCAACTGCGGTAACCATTGGTCATAGTCTTCTTTCGAAACCTGACTCCAACAGAGAAGTGGTATACTGCAGTAGAGAAGACCTGCGTTGTAGTTGAGGAGTTAAAACAGTGGCGCCATTACCTGATCAGGAACCACTTTCGGTTAGTAAAGGAGNGTCAATCAAGGGACGATAAAAGAGGAGATCCAGTGATGGCGTGTAGAATTCCCGGATCTTGATACAATGCCGCGTATCGTTCAAGGCGTGAAAACGCCGTACACTATGTGCTCCCGTTTGGCGCGTCTGTGCCTCCAATCACAGGTGTCCTGATCTGTACAAACACGATGCGTCTATATGCCACCCGGGAGTCACTCATCTAATTCACTTGTTTCGCACTCGAACTACCCGGTCCACCGACCAATAGATGAAAAACAATTTCGTTGTTCCATTCCCGTGGAGGTTTTCAACCCATCGTATCTACGACTCATCAAAGCCACACAGCCCTTAGAGAGACCAACTCTGAACTTACTTCTATTCTATTGTCCACACTTAACAATGATCCCCCAACCGTTGCTGAGTTCTGTCGTGTTCCTCTTTCTTTTGCTGTTTCTAGTTCTACAGTCAGTGTATACCCCCAACTGACCGCAGGGCACCTAAAAGGAGGGATGAATTTTATGAGGACCTTTCCCGACTACTGCATTGTTATCTCAACGGACGTCGTAGAAGTCCCTGATGATTTTAAGGTTTAATTGGGATCTCTGGACGAATCTGCTAAACACGCAACTCGCCAGTTCAACTTTGCTCAGATTGCGAACTGCTCACAACAAGCACCAACTGCTCCAAAAAACGCCATCTCCTCAAGTGGAAACCCCCTTTCGTCTTTGCATCGACGCACTCAAATCGACCACATTGCCATCAGCCACCAACAACGGAGATTTGTTCGGCACTAGAAATCTCTTTGGTCAACACTCAGGGGCCTAAGTCTTCTTTTTCACGGTGTAGCATGTTGCAACAGGACTGGGTTCGCCCAGTTCCCTCACTCAATCTGGGGAAGTAACAAAAGAAGTAGACAAAATGTGCTATATAAGCAGGCGAATTGCGCGTGGCAAACGGATCTCGAATGAATTGTCGCCACGTTGACAGTAAGCTCGATTAGCATTTGCCAATCTAAGATATCTGTAGAGCCGTCGCGACATTCGACGGGTCGAGAGTACGCTGCAGCAAGTGGAAGACTGAACCAGCCAGTGTGAATACCTACTTCAGAACGCCCTCGGTTTAATTCACTCTTCTATGTAGGGTTACGCATGTTATTTTCCTACAGCTGTAAATCGAGTATCACTGTCCACTTAGTTGATGAATGCGAGAGCCAACTTGATGCGCCGTCCGATCAGATCGAGCAAACATGATCCAATGTTTGATGAATTCGAACTTACAGAGTCTAGTCCCAAATATACCCAAGTTCGTCTGCCTAGTGACTAAGAACAGATGGTTTCGTTTCTGTTTTCAGATTTAACAACTATTAAGCATGTACTTTCGTGTACCGGTTTTGGTCGCTGCCACATGACTGTCCATTTGCATGAAGGATCAAAGGGAGGATTGGAATTTTCAAATCAGCGGCAGAGTGAAAATAGAGAATTAATGTGGTCGACGCAACCTCAACCAGTTCTAAAACCAGCCTGCTTTTCACGTGCGATAGAGAACCGGTGGAATATGATACCGGTGCAAATTTTGGAGGCAATTTTGATTAAACTGATTCCTCTGTGGTTTTCACAATGGAATCTGTTGCCTTTCGTTTAACTCGGTTAGATGACCCACTTACTCCCTTATGTTGGAACTTGTTTCCTCTCCCATATTGAGCCCAGAAATTTCGTCAACGCCTAAACCAAGGCAGATTCTCCATCCTTCAGTTCAACCAGACGAACAATCTGGTTGATGTAAGTGGCTTTCTAGCCGGTCGTGATCTGTTAGTGTTTTGCGATTTGTGCGCTGCACGTCTGAAAGATATCTTACACCGATTCCCAAGGAAACAATTTTGGACCCCGACAGTCTTACTCACTAGCACAGATTTTGATTTCAACAACCTATCTGCAATATCAGTATCCACACATGGTGCACTGTTGGTGGTGTCCGCATTAGATGAAAGTGCTGGTTTCGTTCATTTGGCACTAATAGATTACACGAGCTTTTTGTAGATCGTTTGATTTCAGGCTGCTCTTTCGATACGCCTCCCATTGTGACCGAGAGGCTGATGCAATAAATGTTACTATAATCTATCTTTCTGATAAGACCAGTTTCATCTCTTTCAACGGTAACCATTCTATCACTTGGTTGTCATTGCTGATGTTTATATGATGCTTTTGATCTCTGTTCTCTTTTTCTTACAGTAGCACTATTGTCTTTCTCTGCTCATTGACCACCTGCAAATATACTAATTATCTGGTCATCAGATGTGTTTATCTAAGCAATGACCAATTAATTCTACCGTCTGTAAGATGAAATTTTCAGTTGTTCTCTGTCACTCCCCTGCCTGCCCACCTTACCGCTCACATGAGCAATCTAGTCCCATATCTTGCTCACTGGGTCGATCGGGTGCTGACTGTTACCGGTCTCGAAATTTTTTTTTTTGAGTGTACTCATTTTCTTGCAATCTTAAAAAAAAAGGTTTTTACAACTTTCTCCACTATAACTTTTGCGAACTGTTGTCAATTCATCCTTCGAGTGTATGAAGCTTATCTTCTCTCTCTCCGTTCATGGACAGTTGTACAGTTCTTTTTATTCGGATTTCGTTTTTCCGTGCTGTCTTATCTACTTTTTACCATTTTCGATTATTTTAGTTTATCCTGACGGTCGTGTTTGCATTTCCATTCTCCACGCGCCGGGGGATGATCCAATGGGCTACGAAAGCCCGGTGGAACGTTGGAGTCCTGTGCAATCGGTCGAGAAAATTCTCTTATCTGTTGTGAGCATGCTAGCAGGTTAGTGCTGTATTTTGGGATGATTGCCATGTGTTTCTTCGCCGATGTGTTCTCATTTTGTATGAGTGATTTTTACTCAGATGTTGATTTGGTTTGTATGGTTCTTACTTGGCGTAGTTTACGATGAATTGGAAAGCTTTCAGTTATCGCTCTACGGCATTGTTCAATCGGTATAGGTTGTTTATTTATTACACACCAGTGTGTTATAAACAGCAGTCGGGGGCAGACCCCATAGTCACGAAGACCTGCTGTTCAGTTATGGTAACCGGTAACCTAAGCTTAGGGACTCGGAGTGGCGAACCATATAAGGCCAGCTCAGGTGTGGTATAGAACCAGGCGACAGCAAAGCTGTCTACCACCAAAGTTGTTAGTGCATTCACCTCAAAGTTGGGTGTTCGGACCTAGTAATGTCTACCGAATTCCACCATTATACCGCGTGTTCCGTTAGCCTTTGATTGCCCTTGCTGATTGTACTGTACATTTGTGTTGTAGACAGTGAACACCGAGCAGTATTGTGTTTTTCTATCGTTCTGTCAGATCAGAGAGTGGTAGTTTTTTGCATATAATCAATATAAGAACTGGGCGCCATCCAACCAGCCCCAAACTACGCAAACATCAACTGTAGAAGACTTCTATGCGACGTCGCAACTACCTAAGAAGGAGAAGCAACCCACTCTAAATATTTCTTGACCATCAACCATACCAGTCGGGGTAGAAGACATCTCTTTGCAGTTTGAAGTTGCAAAGGGCGTCTTGAATGGAGACTGAGTTATTTCGGCTTCGAGCATCCTTCTTACATTTTCGCAGACAGACCTTATCGTCGGCGTACTCTAAATCGCAGAGCGTTTCTCCAGCTGCCCATTCAGTACCAGCATTTGGGAGACCACTCTAGTCGAACCCCCAAACTGGGCTACCGATAACCTGAACTTTATCTGTTCCCTACCCTTTGACCTCTGAAGTATGACAAGAATCATCCTGTGTAGGATGACAGATGCACACCACGTTAAGAGACACTCTGATCGTGATGGTTTCGGTCGTCTACCTCACCGCGTTTTATCTTCAGCTGCCTCCAGAAAATTAGATGAATATCGACAGGTGACGTGGAAATGAAGTCACAGGTCAACGCCTCATTATGGAAAATACTTACAAGCGGTTGCTTTTCTTGTCCCATAGGGCTTTTCCGCACAAATGAATCGATTTACCGAGCAGAGAGATATGAAGAATGTCACAGATTTCCCTTGATCCGTGTTTTTCTCCGGATGGCGAAATTCAAGACAACAATCTGTGCTTGAAAGAGTCAATTATTGGGGCAGAAAATACATGAGTAAGTAGAGAATTCCAAATACTGCATACTCAGAGGACAAATGAATTACGCCGAAATTTTAGTCAACAATTTTGAAGCACTAACTTGAACGAATGCCCCCTGAAGTGAATGCTGGGGAACATAAAGAAGTGTGCAGAACGGTTAGGTAGAATAATTGTCCATCGTCTTCCAGCTTAGAATCCAAAATACTTTTTAAGTGATTAGTTGGAGACGTTGAAAGATGTGGCAGTTAACCGACAGCAGTGGTTTTCCTACCGTAATTTCTCATCAGGCCAGAATGCTTGCAAAAGTGTGTATGTACAGTTAGCTTGTGTATTGTGTTCACTACAGAGGTTTTCTTTTTTCCTTCTCCCTCCAAATCCACCCAACCTCTGTCCACTTCACATATACTCACTGACTTTGAATGCGTTATGAGCTCGGAAACAATCAATAGAGTTTTATTTTACTGTACGTTGGTGACAATTAAAGAGCGCGGAACTTGCGGTAATTTGTTAATAATTGGGTTTGGTGGTAGTTTTACTTTTCCATAGAAGCATTCAAATTGCTTTCTCTCCATTTGAGTGTCAAGGTAAAGCTCTGCCAACCGCTCGTTTCTGTATTCAAACGCTAGCATTATTTAAAGCAAACAGTTAAATTCGAGTCAACCTCGACCTCAGTGGACTTGCTCACTAAGTAATTCATGGCCTAGGCCTATTTAACAGCTCGTATCCGCATCTACGTCTGACCATCCTGACCGGTGTATCGATTGATCGTGTTGCTATTCCCTTTCATAACCGACTGACGGAGGTCAAGGACAGCATTTTCGGTCAGACCTCACTAAAACTAGCAGTTTATTTTTGTTTGTCTGTGGATCAATCATTGTAATCCGAATGACGGGCGTTGTAATAAGATTATCCTCAACGAAGACTTGCCAGAAAATGATTCTGCTGTTTCCACTCCCGATCAGTTTAACCCTACTTTAGTGCGCCAGCACGCACAGTCTCCCCCTGTTTCGTAACCTCCTTCTTCGGTCCGTAGCCAAGGAATTGTCTACGGATAGCCTAGATGAAAGCTACTGAGCGCGTCTCCAGGTCGCGGATAAGAGAACGGTTACCTTGGCGGTTAGCCGTGTGTAGGTGGGGGCCACCTCACTAAATAATCGACCGCGATCTCGTGACCTGTTCGTGCACAGTGGCTCCAAATTTGTGATCTGAAGTATGCTCGTCGGAGGACGAGCCTTTATCCGCGTAGTTGTTTGCCTGTTTCACCCATATGTTCATTGCAGCCCAGGTACGGGATGGGGTAGATCACACCTGAACTTTTGCGCTGTTCGGCCCGATTCCTTTCGTTGAAGAGAAACGATCTCATTGTTGCTATTAGTTTATGGCCTACCTTGATTCCTAACGGTCAGGGTATACGTTCGGTGGCTTCTGACGTGTTGCGTGTGTGGGTTAATGTTATCGTAATTCCCTCTTGCGTGGTTTGTAATGCACACGTTGATAAAGCTCCTGGGTTATGCGTTAACTTCTTTCTCTTGTTTAAGCTCCCTGTGCTGCAATTTGTGTTCGCTCAGCGGAATAGAGTCCGCACGCAACTTTTTTGGTGGCACAAGGAATTGTTGATGCTGTTTTTCAGGATGCATCTGTCGTGGTCGGTTTGCGGTGAATTATGGTATCTGTTCTTCCTTCCGGTTGTTTCACGAGAAGGATATCGTGCAAGAACAGTTGCCCATTTTTCTCTTCCTCTGTTGTGACGTTGATCTAAGGTACCTAGTCGTTGATCGGTGGAACTGATCTACCGTAGAAACACCGAATATGACAAGTGTGTCATCCACATACCCTATCCACAGACGAAGTTGAAGAGTTTCAAAAGCCTTGGCATCAAAGAGCTTCATAACCAAGCAGGCCTGAGAGTGGCAAACCCATAGGATGTCCTCGTATCTACTGGTACACTTTCCTGTCGAGTTAGAAGTAGGTTTTCATGCGGAGTTCTACGAGTTTCACTAATTCGTCCATGGTATCCCGTCTGTGCGATATAACTGTATTATCACCATGTAAAAGTTTGTCGGAATACATTCTGCGAGAAGAGGCAATAAGTCGACGTTGAGCGGCTGGGAATGTGCGGTTCAGAACTGACTTTAACTTTTGGCCCACATTGTTCAGAATACGAGCGCTTCTGAAAGATAATTTGATATTTTTTTACGACAAACCTAAGTGTGATGAACAGCAGACGGAACGAACCCCACAGTCACGAGGACTTGCTGTTCAGTGGTGGAAACCGGCAACCCAAGCCCCGGGACGTGGAGTGGCAAACCACATAAAGCCCCACTAGCCCAGGCGTGGTATTGAACCGGACGACAGCAGAGCTGCCTACCACGTCTTTCTGAGGAACAGTTGGGGACGGCTACCTTGTGTTCGTTTGTTTTACGCCAGCGATTGAGAGGAAAATAAAATGATCCCGCTACTGTTTCATCTGTTGGAGACACATTTTCTTGAACTTGGTACAACCAAAACCCCAATTCTCATTTTGTGTTGTTGTTTGTAGAGCCGAATGATGAGAGTGCGGCCAACGTGGACGCTGCCAAAACTTGGCGTGAGGACAAGAGACGATTCAACAAACTAGCCTTGCGCAGCGTTCGCTTGAGCTTGGGTTTGCCACCGGAATGAGATGCTGTACGATATCATCATAACCAAAGACAACACACATAAATCAGCACGTGGTCATGTTCGGAACTTGTATAAATAGGCTGTGAATGTTCTTCCACTCCCACTATTTGGTTCATACCCGTCCATCATTGCTGTCTGTTCAAATTCTCTCAAAATTCTGTCGATTATCGTCGACCTGACCGTTCATGCACCACTACACTGTGACCTGAAAGTGTAATACTAAACCATTTGTTTAATCATAAGTTGGCACTTTTACTGTTCTTAAAATATGGGATATTGCATTATACGATATTATTATTATATTACTATAATACGATATGTTTAATATAGTGCTACGTTTGTAAACTTAGTTTCTAGCTCGGCCAACTGGCGAAATCAGTATTTTTCCGGTTTATCTTTCTTTACCCGTTTAATCATTATATGAACATGGTTTATATTCGAAAAGTTTTCGAAGGTAGCAAGAGAATTGATAGGACAAGAGGTCACTGTTTGCGGGTATAACCAAGTTAACAACAGCAACTTCCTCGGTCGAATATGAAATGTCTAATTCCAACCAACATCGAGGTGCATGAACTGCCTTCGGGACTACTGGAAGTACGATCGTCAGATCAAGTTTGCATCTCACCTACCATGTCGCAACCGTTGAGGATTCAAAAAGATGAGTAGCTTCCGAGATCTGCAACATATCTTGTTAGTCAGCGGTAAATGTTTTAAACAGTAAAAACCGGGACGGACAGAAGCGCGACAAAGTAAACAAGAAGGATGTAATCTGTTTTACTCTTGTTGCTGACTTTGCTTATACATAATTACGGACTTAGATGTACATTCTCCCGTAGTCTTAATTCACTCAACAAATTGAAACCGTTGATGTACACAGCCTAAAATTAGAACTATGGGGTCGATATTAAACGGTTTTCAACTATAAACCTCCATCCCGAAACTGCTCACATTTCTCTTTGTATGATAATTTCCCTGAGAAAATGTTTCTAACTCATTTGTCGGATTTCTATGTTAAGCATTACCCCATGCAATTTCAGTCTAAGGCTGCCCATGGAATTGAGTACATGGAGTCCACAATGACCTTTAAAGTGTTTTGGCTATAGTGACAGCAGAAAAATAATGTTCAGTTAACGGTTTAAACGAGATCGAATACAGAATTCGTTGGCAAAGCCATTTTTGGAAAGAAACCACGCTACTTGAAAAACTGAAATGTCTGGTACTGGGTCTATGTAATCTGGTTCGTTTTGATTAATCAGCATTCAATCTGCAGGCATGAACTTCATCCAGTCCCCCCACCCCCAGCTAAAACTGAGCGGTCATTTTGAACACTCGAACTTGACCGTTTTCTTTGCTGTTGCGATTGTCTTCTGAAATTAATCGATACCTTCAACGCAGCCCCCGTTAATCGACATCAACTTCGCCATTGTGTCACAACCTCAGTGACCGATTAAACTGATCACATGATTCACGAAGTATAAATGCCGCTTTCGAGCAGTTGTCCGACCCAGATCACAGTTATTGTGATGACCTTTGTCGGCTAAGCTGTCCATGTTCGCCAATGCTTTAGCAAGGGCACTCGCGACTATCGTCCCCACTTGCGTCGTTGGCGATCGATTGATTGCATTTCATTCCGATTAGCGAGAATATCCTAACAACTACGGTCACCACTGTTCTTAAACGATAGATAAATACATCGGAGTGTCCGTCTTTGGCGCCAATTGCATAACTTTCGTCAGTGCAGAGTAGAGTAACTTACACTATCGAAGAAAAAGTTATGTATATCACAATGATTTATCTTTTGCAAACCATAAATTGTCGTGTTTTAGCTTTGACCCCGTTGAAAATCAACATACGTGTTGTTTATACTAATCGTATACTCCAGTAATCCACTCGAAATCCGAGCGCTCTCCGAAGTTTGAATTGATGCAGTAACTTCTGCGCTTGTCTGATTGAGATAAATTTCGCTGTATACATCGATTCACAATCATCTTCTTTGGGAAACCTAGATTGGTTGGTGACGAAATTCGTGCTACATCCTGATTTCTGTTGGATTTGTTTCTCCACACCCTTAATGTTTTGTGTCTCATTCACGGAATTGAATATGATATAGCCCCACATTAACCGGAACATATCTGTACTAATATGCACGTCTGTTTAGCTTCCATTAGTGGAACGCCGAAAAATGGACGATTTCAACAATGGCTGTTGGTGCATCAGTTGTAAGATAACAACGTCTCAGTAAAAAGCAACTTGTAGACTTTTCATCCGGTCTCGGCGTAGTGGCACTCCGAGACGGTTATTCAACAACCCGCACACATCAAGATCAATTTTTAGGTTAAAATATACTCTTCTAGGACGACAGATCTAACGTGAGTAGTTTGTAGACACGATTAATCAACTTAGGTAAAAAAAATTTCATACCTTGTGCACCAAATGAAAAAAGATAAACCATCTCCAATACGTTTATTGACTATAATAAACACCCTCACGAAACGGCAATGCATCGGGCCTTCTTGTCTTCCAAATAATCATCCTCAAACGACTCGAGTCGAATTCTCAGTTTCACTACTGCAAACACAACTAGTAGTAAGTTGAAATGCGTGGGTTTGAATTCCACCGAAGCTACTGAAGTTTTCACAATTTCAACATAAACCTTCAATCTGCCAAACAACCATTTGAAAACTAGCAGTTACAAATTTCAGATCAACAGCACGTATTTCTGCGCAACTTGAAAGAACCTCTGGTGCACGAGCGCACACGTACACCATCCCCCTCCGATCCGTGCACGCGTGAGCGAACCTGTGCGTTGAGCGCAACGTAAGTAGCAATGAGATGCTCTGGTGACAGAACAGTAAATCTAGTTGAAACAGTCTATCACTACAAAATTGGTGGCGGGGGTGAATTTTACAGAATGACACACACTAGTCTCCTCAGAGTAGGGGTCGCATTCTATTTTTTAATCTAGTCTGGCGGTGGTACAGTGCACCTCAGCACATGCGCGGGACAGAGATTGATCAACTAAGTGACCTTTGAGATCACTTACTTGTAACATACGACAGGAGGGTTGATTCCGGATAACGCGATTCGAGTTTCTTATGTCTCCGCATGGTCGGAGATGGGTCTCGGGTGCGCTTGGTTACCCCTCCCTGGCACCTCACGAAATGCTTCTATACGATCATGCGTTTCAAATAGCCTCTGTTGAGGAATACCTGCTAACTGCCTTCCCATCGCCCAAGTGAGAGAACGAAAAACGAACACCTGGAGATACAATCGAGTTGGTGAATGTGCGGTAGTTCACCTATGAGAATCGGCTAAATCCCTGATTCCAAACCAACCAAGAAGAAGCGTACAAACCACAACCACCTACCATTTCCTGGTAGTGGCAGTGGTCACTGATTCGATCGGATACGGAGGTGTATTGGGCACTTTACATCCCGAAGTGATGGTAACCGGTGGTTAGAGACGCCTAGTGTGGTGGTAAACAGTGGCACTCGTAAATCTACTCATTAGTCGTGCAACCCCCGTCTATATGAATTCTCTATCTTCCCCTTGAATTTGCTCTCATCATTCTACTCCAAATGGTTAGCAAAAAGACAGCAACCGAAATTGGCCCACGGAAGTGCACGGTTAACAATTGTAAAAACAGAAGAGACGTGCAAATCCATCGCGCCGGATCAAGGAGCTGTCTCATCGAGATGGAACATAGGCTGGGTATTACTCTGGCTCAGACGGATCTTCCGCAGTATTTTATACGAATGTCTGACGCCGAGTTCCAACTGACGGCTCTTTTCACCACGTAAAACGGTGCTCGTCAGAGGTGTCTTATCTCTCATTTCTCCTTCAACTTCGCAAGGAATTCGATTCTTCAAACAACCCTGGCCCGCTGCGAGGATAGCGGCGTCGATATTCTTCTAGGTCATAAGCCGGCTGAGCTGTAGTGTGCAGACGATACTGTAATATTCAGTTAAGGTAAGTTACGCGCTTTTCTGTATGGTTTGAGTGTTAGTGTAGCTTGGTTTAGCATGCATTGTGCATTTCTGAACTGCATGATCTTAAAAATTGAGGACGGATTTCGTGGTGGCACGCATACAGTGGGTCCCATTGGTAGGCTAATTTGAGAAATATGTCACCGTAACTGAATTCGGACGTCCATTCGGGTTTTAGTGGATGGTGCATCTCTGTAGCCGATTCAAACTTGGTCGTCACGGGAACAGGCCGAACGCGGACGACTAAGAGCACTGCTGTTTCGAATCAGAGCCAACTCTACTAGGTGAACTTCCAGTGGTTCACCAACCCTAGATGTTGACTTTTAAGCCTCTCACTTTGGTGGGAAACACCTTTGCCAGGGAAAAGCAGTGGGTAGGTCTTCCGAAGCAGAGGCCATTTCAGACGCTTATTGGTATAGAAGCATTTGACGAGGTGCAAAGAAAAGGAGATCAAACAAAACTCGAGATGCCCACTTCAACTGTCTTGTGGCTCTGGGATGCCCCATTGCTCGAGCCTCGTGGGTTAGCCGGACAAGCGATACCGATGCAAAACGCAGGAGTTTGGGCGATTTCCGTCACATGCTGAGGAAAGCTTTTGACCTCTACGGACCGAGACGGCTGTTGGGTGTCCTCAGATGGGCTTGCTTGATGTGCGGTTTTCACCTCGGACGGAAGAAGGATTGACTTGGTGAGACTAAATACGGGATGAGAAGGTGGAAAGCTTGACCATGGAACTTGGACGTTTAGGTCACTTTTGGTTTCCGAGATTCAGCCCTCGGGATCTGTGCAGTCAATGGTTAGAGACACTGGGTGATATTACTGTCACAACGAGCAGTCCGCGTGCATTTACTTGCAACCTAAGTCTTCGTGAACCTCTCGTTCTCCAAGTTATTACTGCTTCAAGCATTCCAGCATCTCGTCTACAACTTCATTCAAACGAGTAGCGAAAGGATAGCAACTAAAAAATGCCATCAAAAGTTATATAAATTATATACATGCATACATACATACATACATAGATATACTGAGATTTGATGCAATGTACATTTCAAGGTTGAGATAACCCTTTTCTTCATCATCCAGTTCCAACTTTTTCAAAAGAACGCATTTCAATAACATTAAAATGATAAAAACTATCCCCAGGTAACTGGGCTATCAACTGATTAAGTGTACATTTGAATCACCCTTTCATGAAACCGCTGATCAGTACGTAAACAGACCAACAACCTTTTTTGACCCGGGTGCATCACCACTAGAAATTCCACTTCGTTTTTGAGTTTGATTGTCCATCCTCCTCCAGAGAGATTATAATACTCAAGAACAAACTGGAGGTAGCCGTGCAAACCTCACATTCTATAGTGGAAAATGCAACTTTTCAGTAGCGTGATTGTAACTCCCACAGCTTTGGATTAGTGAGAAACACCACTTATTTGGGTGTTACCGCCGTTTCGTCCGCGATCTGCTATTTATCTGAGCGGACTTTCTATCTACGACATAAAAACGCATCCCACGGTGTACAACTCAGATCGTTGTACACATTGATGGTAATAAGACAATTTTTACCTAAAACTGTCGATTTTTCGAGTATTTTTAATTTATTTTCATCTTCGTCTTCATCGTCCACCCCCAGCTTCTGGCCGCTCATTGTTCAGTTCTGTAATTTTTCTCATCTTTTGTATCAACTTTCAAGGTTTCTCTATCCGGAGACGGGAACAGTATATAAACAGAAAATCTGAGACTAAATTTGGCTTGCTCTGGGCGTGTCAATTTCACATTCGTTGCTCACCGTCTGTGTTCTTGCTTACGCAGCTGGGAGATTGTTATTACATCACGAGGAGACTGATCAGCAAAGTTCGCTTCATTGTATCTCGCTGTACGATGGTGATGATGCTATTATTAGTGCTAGTTGCGTGCAATTTATACTGATCGTTTCGTATCCTTCGGATCTACCTCTCCCTGTGTGCGGTCGTGGTCCGTGATATCGTGCACGTTGAATGTGAGTATCCAGTTCTGGTTTCTCGTCCAACATCAGTTGTAAGTGCCACAGCTACTATGCTGACTCGTGCGCGGACACGCCGTTTCTCCGTTGTGTGTGTTATTTTTGTGTCATCGCGAACGACACAACAGATCTGATGTAGCCAACTTTCTCCGAGGAAAATGCATATTCAACGATCCATAATCCGAGAGAAAAGCCCAAACGGATTGCAGACAAGTACCATCACTTCAATGCTATGCCCATTAGACTTGTGTACAGTGTCTCTTTGTTGGATAACTAAGTGGTAAATGAAACGAAAACGATGATATTACCATTATTATCAGGATAACCAACACAAATCCTCTTCGGTCACTCCTCTAGTATGTTTCACTTTCAATCACTTAGTGTTGTCACTCTGTTTGCTTCAGGTTTGGATATACGAGTACACTTATTTGTTTCGAAGCTTTGGCAAGATATACACGAGCTTTCATATCCGAAGAAATCACCGTTGCCACACTGGCAAGAAAGGTCATTGAGAATGCAAAAGTGTGAATTAACAGCTAAGTGCATTGAAGAGTTCAGGACAAACTCTGTTCCCTTGTCATTCAGTGTCTGGGCAATATGAGGTGCCGATAAATCCATGTAGGCAGATCTACGAGATAGAATTTATTTGAATTTGGAGCGGGTGGAAGGGTGGGATTCGCATTCACACAGGTCTGTGTGCCAGATGCTCGCAACAAATAGGGCAATAACCGGTCGAAAAATACCATAAAAAGTGTCGACATCTGTTAAACTACAATGGGAGCGATGCACAAACTGATGTAAATAAAAGAAAAAACTGGGGGTGACAAACAATAGTCAAGCGATAGATGCGATTTTGAAAAAGAACTTCGAACTTGCCACACCATTTGGAGCTGATGCAGATAACGACACCACTGTTTCTTCCCGCCCTGTTGTCTATCCTGTCTGAAACAGACGAGATTATCCAACTCAACCACAGAATCATCTACATCATCATTGAACTACATTACTGCTGAACACAGTACACACGAAAGGCGAAATCCCCCTTTTGAATCAAATAGGATAAATCCGGAAGCTTCCCTAGCAGAGAACGAACACTGTTACTCACAATTGTAGGTAAAGTTATCCTGTTGGGAGTGCGAACGAGGGCGATTTGCAGACCGGCACATATGCGTTTTCCGCGTTTGCAGTTGGTTTGTGGGGTTGACTGGCACTCCAAACAAGACATGACTTTGGGTAACAAAATCTCAAGTTTGTAGCATACCCCTTTGTCGTATTTCGGGATGAAGTACGCATAGATGGCAATGTGGCCCATAAATTCGAAAAAGTAACCTCAGTGACAAATCAACGTGCAGCCGTTCAAGAGGAGCGACTAAGGAAGTTTGTAGAAAAGTAACATGAAATGTCTGTTCCGGAAGTCAGTATAATGTTGAGCGTTGGCAAAACCCACGATTGAGTAGTCGGAACAATAGCGGTCTCGGGTGTGAACAATACACCTATCAATCATTTAGCATTCCACTACAGTGTAAATATACGCAGGTAAGCGGTGCTCTTTATTTTCAACGAGCAAATTCAGCAGAATAAGAACCAGTTGCTGACATACCTGGTAAGAATGACTACACTTACGGATGGCGCCCATGATCCCATCGTTTGACATTGCGAATCAATACATTTTTAGCAAAGTTATATTGATAAAGACGAACGCAGAGAATTGAAAACTAGCTGGAACATACATGAGAAGTCACCAGTTGATGTTGAGGCAGAAACAGATATTAGACGCGCGAAAGTATTCAACAAACTGCAATGTACAACGACTGGAAAATCCCTGTACACATCATAAATGCGGGTAGTCTAAGCCAAACCGAAACGCGCTTTTCGCTTCTGCAATTTCGCCTCGTCTGTTTCAATGCCGAATTTCTCTGCCCGAGCTGCTTTGGCTTCCTCGTCAGAACGGATTTTTACGGTAGAATTAGCAGTAGTAGTTCCGGACAACGCACTAGCACCGAAACGTTCCAGACGCATCGCTTTACGCACGTCATCATCTCCCTGGATAGTGTAGCAGACGAACAGGTGTGGAAAAATCACGAAATGGAAACATTGTATAACGGAGAAAATCTATCTGTGGGTATAATAAGCAGAAGCAATACACCAACGATAAAATCAAGATCTGTTTTTGCGCTTTAAACGATATTCTATGATCAGCGTTTTCAATCCATTCACCGACATTACCTAATTTTACAAAAATCTTTTATGAATGGAGAAGCGGATACCTAAAGGGGTGCCATGTAACAAAGAAAGTTAGGCAGTTGCGGATGGGTTCGAACACGGCCTTTGGGGTAAGGTGATGATAACCAACATCGCGTTGAAATGAACGTGTGGGTGGTATGCGCGAAGACCGGGAGTGATTAGGTTAAAAAATACAACGTCTGAATCCCGCCATCGCCACTCGTCTTCTCCATTTCGGCAGCCTTTGGGGATTCGAACCCAATCATGGAATTTATCGTAAAGCACACAAAACGAGCAGATCTTTTCACATTTGGATGGCCCAGCGAGCTTACAGAGTCACATGGAATCAACCAGTAAGCACGCAAACTGTTTCCCTGGCAGGCGTACGTGACATCCATGAGTCGATTCCTATCCTACGGAAGATACAGATCTTTTTACCGTCCAGCAACTTTTGTTGAGCTTAAACTATGAAATGAAGTAATTGAATGAACGAATGTATTCTGGAACTATGTATGGCAGTGAACGTGCACCGAGCAGCCTCCGGATAGAGTCAGATACTGTACACGATCGAATAACGAAGATATCAGGAATCGGTCATGTAAAGTTTTAATAATGATGAGTTAAGTACATATCTCAAATAAAAGGAAAAGTATTGCATTATGAGTGGTGAATGGCAGAAGTGGTGGGGCAGCACCAGCGTGCAACACACAAAAACACAACACAATGGTAAAAGTAAGTCCCGATGTCGCAATAGTTTAACGTTTAGGAAAAGAAAACCAAAGCCAAACGAAGTGTTTCCAGACGCTCCGCTAACAAATGATCAACACAGAAAACGTTCATTAAAAGGAAACTTTATCTACTACCGGTAAAGACTACCACTTATGTTAATAATGACAACACCCAGTGAATGTGTGTGATGACTGGTACAGACACGGAGAGAAATCGTTCACAAAACTCTGGAAGCGCCCTCCGCAGTTTCGCCACCGTTTGCAGTATAAGATAATTGNNACTGAGCGTCGGAAAATCTGTGCTGCGGTGTTCTCACCAAGGCATATATGTGTTCTGTTTTAGCAGCGGCTGTAACGATACATTCATCATCTTTAGGTACTTCGAAGCAGTCATGGTTCTAACGATGAAAATCAACTTACTCGTCATTTCCGACTATATCGTAACTGAATAGCCACCAGCTTGGCATGTCGCTAACTCATTCCGTCTGTGTACGTCCGTCCCTTCAAGCTCGAGTTCCCCATCTATCAATTGCAGCCGCAACCCTCTTTATCAATTTGCACGATAGTGTCCTGCTGTTTTACGGCCGCTGGGGGCTCACGTTTGGATAGCCATCGTGCACACCACAGTTGTTCGATGTTTGTGTTCGTGTATATTCCGAATCGTGAATGGCACATTCTCTTTTAAATATGATGAGGTTACAGATAGATTCCTTCGCAGATATTGAAATACCTTTCGTTGTAGTCTTCCGTTTTCCACAGAAAGGCAATCACTAACATCTATATGTACTGCTTTCTTTCTATTGTTTTATTCACATAGACAGCATGGGTCACGCTTCGTCTAACGCTTTCAATATATCAAAGACGAACTTTCAGGTATTTCATAAACTAGTGTCCTGACAAGCAGCATACCGGTGGTTTGCATTCATAAAAAACGAAATAATGCGGATGCCTTAAGCTTCCTTCTTTCTGTTTGTGAATGGAGATGCGTGAGTACAGTTCGCGAGTGGGAATTGAAGTTAAGTGAATACCGCTCACGAATACCAAGTTGGATGAGTCCAACTCGTTGTAATTTAGGAATTGAGAATACCGACTTAGGCGACCAAATAGATTTGTGTTGTTTGTTCCGCTGGAGCGGATAACCGATCTACCAGGAATGTATGTTCAGTTTTAGATAGCCTCCCGAACACTCACCAAACTGACCACATCGATCCCACGGTGTTACAACAAACCGCTGATGGCAGTCCTCGAACGATATTAAACACATATTTTGCTTTCCGGGTGGGATAGCCTTCACGGCTTTCAGTTAAATCGCCTATCTGGAAGTTCGTTGCCCGTTACCTGCCTATTCAAGTTTGGTTATGGCGCTGCAGACTAGTGGAAACGCTCCTTCAGATGCTCTGTGTGAAGCTGAGAACTGAGTCATTTTCGCACGCTCGGACGCGGTCGCATCATTTGTGCGCTCCCGGTTTAAGTGGATTTACTCCACCATAACACGTCATACAGCGACGAGTTTACGCTCGTTCGACTCAGCTCTGCGAGATCCATCTAACGATATCTCTCTCTCGGATATAAACCATACCATTCACACCACTGTGCTTTTCCGTGATTTGTAGCAAATATTTTGCTA